CACGAATAGGCAGGCACGCCCGGTGTAATTCCACGACCACACAGAAGACAGGCGTGAAATGGAAGCAATTCCGTGTTTCGTCTGATGAGTGTGGTGCCGGAGGCCTAATTTAAGTCCCTTTCTCTTTACCACCCTTTTCTTATAAGGAGACGATGGTAAGGGAAAGTGGATTTGACGGTGGAGGAGATGCATAGGAAGGGGAAATATCCTTTTATGTGCGTCTCATCCTCCGTCGGATAAGGGTAGGCAACGCATCTGCAATTGCGGATGTCTATGGGCAGCGGTCGCTTCGCCATTTTGGCAGATTTAGGTGGCCGCTTGTTCGTTTTCCGCCTTATGATATAAAAAAAAATAGTTATTGAGGAAAAAAATCCGTATTTACTGGAGTATGATAAGTTAAGGGATATGAGGATGTTAATTCTAATGTAAACTCCCGTAAATTGAAATTGAACCAATTTTAATGAGTGAGGACTCTCGGATTTGTTATCTACCTTTTAATCACTCGGGTTTTTTTTTATTAACTGTGTTAAATATAACATTCGACTGAAGTTTTACACTACAAATCGAATTTAACATCATCATCAACTTGCCCTCATCCCTTACGGAGGGTCGGCACAGTATGTGCTGCTCTTCCATACATCTCTATCAGCCGTCATATCTGAATCCACTCCTTTCTTAAGCATATCCTCTTTCACACAATCCATACATACTTTCTTCGGTCAAAACTTAACAAAAGGTGTGAATTTTTTAAAACATTCAAAATTAAAAATTATGAAATAAATTATTCATACAACAGTAAAATGCAGGCAGGAAGTTTTCATTCTCTCCGGTGCTATAAAAATGCGAAAAGAAAACTTTTTTACGGCTCATTTCATATTTCATGTTCACAACAGTGCCGCTAGGTGTCGCTAGGTGTAGCTACAACCTCTCGACCTTTTTTCTCAAACACAATGCAAGTCATAATTTCTAGTTAAACTGTAGGATAAACAGTATTAAAACGTGAAAATGAAAAATAAGTTTAAATTCATAATTTAAACATGATTTTAACCACACATATTGAACAGTCAAACTGTACAGTTATAACTGCGCAGTTTATACTTCTTGGTGCCGGCGGCCTAATTTGAGCCTCTTTCACTTTCCCCCCTTTTCTTAAGAGGAAAGGATGGGAAGGAAAAGTGGATTTCTCGATGGAGAAATCCACAGAATCGCACAGAAAGGTGGAATATCCTCTTTTTGACTGTTCCGTGTGCTTTTTCTTATTACGTAAATTTGCTTGTTAATTACTTTATAATATTAAAAAACTCAATAATTTTCACAACAACCAATGTTAAATTATTAATAAAATGTAAGCGGCTATGGAATAGCAAAAATATAATTGAAGGGGAATTTTACATGAACTCACACAAGAATAACAAATTATTCAGTTCATAAAAGGTCGTATTCATTATACGAAATACAAAGTAAAACAAACTGGACTTAATAGTGCGGAAATGTTCCTTTTGGGTATTTTCCGGGCGAAAATAATTTTTACTTTTCCGTTTCCAACTGAAAAAACGATACGCTTCGTCTAGCGTCGAACGCGTTATTTTTAATGGAATTAATAGTTTACGCGTTGCCTTATTAACACATATGAATGTCGTTTCAATATTCAGCCGTAAAACACTTATTCTCACCTACAACTCCTGTAATCCATGTGACCTATATTACGTGAAACGCACGTAAGCGATGGTGACGGAAGTGACAATAATAAACTCAACCCCCAGGGTGAAACCTAATCACATGCAGGCTGAATTCATTCTCAATATTAAAATAAATTAGAGCGTGGCTTAGTTTTATTTTCATAACTAAAATATTCCTTTAAGTAATCCATACTATTATAATAAAGCGTAAACACACACTTTTTTGTTGCGTAAGATGTCAGCAATTACAGTATATTTTTGAATAATTACTTTTTTAATGAAACGCCCTACACTTACGTCACGCTTTAGGCTATATATTTTCACGCCATTAAACTCAGGAGATAAATATTTTGGATAAAAACTAATGTGGGAAAGAGGCCATAAGTTGCTGCCAACATCAAGGAAGCAAAATTGCCATACTTTCTCATCATGTCATGTCTGTCATTTTGACATTTGTACAGTTGCAAATTCAATAATTTGACAAATGTAATCAATAAAACAATTTCCATAATAATTAAAATAGTCCTTTAAGTAATTTACGTATTAAAGCATTATTTAATTCAGAGTTTCTTAAGATTTTGAAACTATCAAATATGATAGGATAAAGGATAATGTACCCTATATTAACTCAAAAGAAAGATAAACTATTTCGTTAAAAAACTAACGATCACAGATTAAAAACTGAAAGTAACTTTAATTCAAGCTTATATTTATATACTAACTGTTGCTCGCGAAATTAAAAATATATTTAAAAAAATACAGCCAATGTTACTCAGAGATAATGTAGCTTTTTAATGGTGAGAGAATTTTTTAAATCGGCCCAGTAGTTATTGAGTTATTTCAATACATACAAAAAACAATTCTTTCCTCTTTATAATATTAAGTATATGTGTAGATGGTTATTAATCGTCAGCTACGTAGAATATCATTAAAAGAATATAGAGTAGATAACAAAGAGCCCTCAGTTGCAGACCCCTTGTAGTCTAGGAGTGGGTAGAAGGGGGATAGGAGGCGGTGACCACATTCATCCGTATTATATTGTTACTAGCAAATACTAGGTAAGGACTGGACCACACTATGAGGTTATTGATTATGTCTATAATTGTCATAAGCACAAGTCAAGGTCTGTCAGAGAATTAAAGTCGCTATCCACTTAGTTTCGAATAACGTACAGCAATCTTTCGTTGTAAGAACTATAATTTGTATGAAAATATGTATATTACCAGCTACGGCCGCGACTCCGTCTGCGTGGTATTAAAAAAAGAAAAGCAAGTAGTTTATGTGTTCTTCCAGACCGTCGTCTACATCTATACCAAATTTCATTGAAATTCGTTCAGCCGTTTAGGCTACAAACTCTAACAAACATCCATCCATCTATACTTTTTTATTTATAATATTAAGTACGAAAGTATGATTTTGACACGTTGTCGGCTTTTACAAAAATGAGTGTGAAATAAACATCCTTAAATAGTTTAAAGCATCCAGAAATAATTACATATTGCTTAAGAAATTAGTGAGCAAAATTAAGTTTATTTTTAATCAAAGCAATAACATCGATTACATGTTTCCAATTGGAAATAACTGATAAGCCTCGTTTAATTTTTTTTCCAAAATCCGATAATTTAATTAACTCTACCGCAGGAATTACTACCTAATATTTTTATCGTTAATTAAAATTTTCAATTTAAAATCAACGCTGTGTCGTAATTAAGATAGGAGATTAAAAAACTTAAAACGATCAAACTGGGACAGAGTTAAGTACTGTTTTGCCCCATAATTGAATTATGAAAATTAATTTTTAATTTAAAAATGTATAAAACCTAGACGACGAATGTTTAATAAAAGCGTCGCAAGCCGATGATCTAGGCTAGATCTAAAAGGGGGACTATAAATTCCATTAACAAACGACTGACAGATTGCAAGCATCGTCTACGAAGCGAAATATTCGGCCTTTTTTTAAATATAAGGTGGCGAACGAGCAAGCGGCTAACTGAATCCACCGAAATGGATGCGACCGCTGCCCATAGACATCCGCAATTGCAGATGCGTTGCCTACCCTTAATTAACGGAGGAGACGCACATAAAGAAGACATTTCCCCTTCCCATGCATCCTCTCCAACGTCAAATCCACTTTACGTTCCCATAAAAAAAGGGTGAAAAGGGAAAGGGACTAAAATTAGGCCTCCGGCACCACACTGATCAGACTTAACACGGAATTGCTTTCACTTCACGCCTTTTTTCTGTGTGGTCGTGGTAATACACCGGGCGAGCCGGCCCATCCGTGCGAAGATGTTAAAGCGGGCTTTACCACTGTTAAAATATCATTTACTGAATCTCTACAAAATAGACTGGACTTCAATGCTGTAAAGCGTCTAGGTCTAATGCATAATTTATATTGATAAAACAAAACATTCGCGTGAAAGTATCGTCCCCTTATAGCACGCCAGCGCCTCTGTCGCAAACAACCTCAAATATTCACGAAGTAAACTCCGAACTCTTCCCTTCATACACATTTAAAATACTACAATAAAGACTACATTGTAGAACTTACTGTCTATATCTATAGTTTATTTAAACTAATATAATAAACAATAAGATAGAGGACAAATATTTTTAAATGAAAATTTACAAATTGACCTAAACTTCAACTGGTCAAAAACTTTACATTCACCTTTTTCTATTAAGAAAAGGATTGGATGGAAAAGTGGATTTGACGGTGGTGGGGACGCGTAGGAAAGGAAAATATCCTCTTTATGTGCGTCTCCTCCTTCGTCGATTTAGGGTAGGCAACGCATTTGCAATTGCGGATGTCTATGGGCAGCGGTCGCTTCACCTATTTGGTAGATTTAGGTGGCGCTTGCTCGTTCACCACCTTTTTCTATAAAAAATACCTTTAAGGAGTACATAACACATTTAGACTCTTTTTAATATTTAATAGATTAACGATATTTTTTTACTAAATTTGACCATAAACTTAAAAATATAATAGAAAAGTGGAACGTAAAATATTATTTAATTAACAGCACGCAGTAAGCTTTGAGTGGTACAAAGCGCGGCCGCACAATGCGGTTTAATGTTTAACTAGAATTTCTCGTTTCGTATCAACCGACCTACATCGCCAGGACATGCGTTATTTGGACTTTCTGTACTCTTATTTCTGTAAAATATTTTAAAGTCCTTCTCTATGCTATTTGTTAAACTCTACTTGTGTAAAGCTCTAAGTCTGCATAACAATTATTTAATTATCAACAACAAAAAAACAATGGCAAAAATAACATCACATTGCTAAGTAACATGTCTTAACGTTGTTTTTTGTTTCAGTAATACAGCAACTATGACGTCACAGGCGTTAAAATGGAGGTGAAAAAGCAAGAGAAACCTGGAAGTTTGTCGCCGGTGAAAGGATTAAGAAGGGACGACGACGGCAAGACTTCCAGGTCCAACAGTAAATCGGAGAGAGACCTCCGCCTACCGGAAAAGTCCCCCAGTGAAGATGCAGTCAAGAGAGAAAGACGACCATCTAGAGCCAGTGAGAGTTCTAAGGACAATTTAGAAAGGTATTAAGATATCTATGTGCGTCTCCTTCTACGTCAATTAAGGGTACGAACACTTCTGCAATTGCGGATGTTTATGGGCAGCGGTCGCTTTGCCATTTTAGGGTATTCAAGATGCTTGCTCTTTTGCCACCTTATGATATTTAAAAAAAATGCTTCACATTTAATAGCCAAATTAGTATACAACTAGCTGTTCCCGGCTTCATCCGCATGAAATTATGAAAATTTTATTTTATTGTTAACATTTGTCAAATTATCAATAGCAAATTTAAAAATGACATGACATGATGTCAAACCTTGGCAATCTTGCTTCCTTGATGTTGGCAGCAACTTATGGTCTCTTTCCCACATTAGGGTTTTTATTAAAATTAATTAACCCCTAAGTTTAATGACGTAAAAATATATAGCCTAACGTGACGTATGTGTAGGGCTTTTTATTAAATAAAGAATTATTCAAAAATGTGCTGTAATTACTGACATCTTAGATAACAAAGAAGTGTGTGTTTACCCTTTATTATAATAGTATAGAAGTATAGATAAGTAAAAGAAAATAACCCTATACTAGTTGGTAGTAGTTAGTATTTTAGGTACCTATTTATTTTTTATTCCAATTTTGATCGCTATATCTGTCTTAATGCCTACATTTAGTTATTTATTTCGTGTACAATCTACCCTTATAAGAAAAAAACCTTGGTATGTATGTACTTACTAGTTTAACAAAGTAAATAATGAGCACATAACATTTGTAAAACTTCCATTCTAAGGCAAATTCCACGGGTATTGTACAAACTTTCGGAGATAGGGGACAAGTTAAAAGAAACGGTGAAGTAATAAAACTTTTTCAATCATTTTTACAAGCTTTCCTGATCAAAGACGAAATTCTCACTCCGCGATAACTAGTTTTAAACTCACAAAAACTGTTCCCAATTTATCGGGTAAATTTTAATTGAACCCCTCAATAGTTACTCAAAGTTTTGGAAGCAAGGCGTATCAAAACTTTGCTTTAGGCGTTAAAATACTCATTTCTATGATTTCTGGCTTATCTTATAAAGTAACAAGCCTGTTGGTCGCGACTTCGAGTCCGTGATATTAAGATTAAAATCAAAAATATAGCCTACTAGCTTTCGCCCGAGACTCCATTCGCGTGGAATTAAAAAAAAAGTGAGTAGCCTATTTGTTCTTTCAGACTATCCTCTGCATCCAAAACAAATTTCATCAAAATCTGTTCAGCCGTTTAGGCTACAAACTCTAACAAACATCCATCCATCTAAACTTTCACATTTATAACATGAGGATAATGTTAGTCACTGATAACATAGCTTTTTAATGGTGAAAGATTAAAAAACAGCTTAGTAGTTTTTTATTTATTTCACTACATACCAAAATAAATACAATTTTTTCTCTTTATAACATCAGTATATATGGATAATTAATTTGGTATATAAGGGTGACAATACATTTTTAAAATTGCGCGAAAACCCCACGGTTATCTTTATTCAAGACAATATTCCTAACCTACAAATCCATTTAAAAACACGACAGAAGCATTATAAAAGCGTTAGTTAGAATTGTAGTTTGTAATAATATAAAAGCAAATTTTAATTACACAAAGTCAAAGGGAAACTGCACTGAGTTTCGGTGAAAATAACATTCACTGCAGTGTAAAGAACGTCGTTTGAAAATGAATAGTAACTATAAAACAAAAGCTACTTGAATCTGATTAATGTTAAACTTTTTAATACAAAGTCATGTTAAATCATACTACCATACTTCATACTAATATTATAAATGCGAAAGTTTAGATGGATGGATGTTTGTTAGAGTTTGTAGCCTAAACGGCTGAACGGATTTCAATGAAATTTAGTATAGATGTAGAGGATAGTCTAGAAGAACACATAGGCACACATTTGTTTTTAATTCCACGCGGACGGAGTCACGGGCAAAAGCTAGTTCTTTAATTAAATCTTATTACATTCCTTGATTCTTATGCTATCAAATAATTGTTTTGTATTAAGCTTTGTATTGAATTTATTTAAAACTAGTTGTTATCTGCGACTTCGTTAGCGGGAAATTTTTAATTTTACTAATAACATTAATGCTGACATCAGTTACTTTAACACCAAAGTCTCGTGAAAATCAGTGCATCTATTTAGATTCTCCGGAACATCAGTCGTGCGGACAGACAGACAAATATTTTAAAATTTGAATTTTGATATCAGCAACGCAAACACGAAATTTATGATTTTTTTTCAATTAATATACAGACACTTTTATTATATGTATAGATAATGCGTTCGCTATCAACCTTTCGATTGTATAAGATAAATGTATAAGGTAATCGTATTACATATATTTTATCTTATAATCCACAGATTAACATAAAATTTTCCACATTGATTGTTGATTTCTACATCAATACTTTTTTATTATCTCATAATGTTTTTCAATCTATATTTACACACTATAACCATTCTATTAACTGTAAAGAATCATACATATTAACAGTGGTAGAGCCCGCTTTAACATCTTCGCACGAATGGGCCGGCTCGCCCGGTGTATACCACGACTACACAGAAAACAGGCGTAAAGTGGAAGCAATTCCGTGTTTCGTCTGATTAGTGTGGTGCCGGAGGCCTAATTTTAGTCCCTTTTCCTTTTCACCCTTTTTTTAGAGGAAAGGATGGGAAGGTAAAGTGGATTTGACGGTGAAGGATTGCATGGGAAGGGGAAATGGCCTCTTTATGTACATCTCCTCCGTCAATTAAGGGTAGGCAACGCATCTGCAATTTTGGATGTCTATGGACAGCGGTCGCTTTCCATTTCGGTGGATTCAGATGGTCGCTTGCTCGTTTACCTCCTTATGTTATAAAAAATATGATTTCTTTTATTTCAAAGGAAATGTTTAATGCATTCTTTGTCAATTAATAACTACGATGACAAAGAAAAATTTAAATCTGTTGTAGATTTGAACGGATTACCTTGGTTTATGATTGATTACATTTTAAATACCTAACTAAATATGATGTAAACGCTTTAAATAATTCCGTAATACGTTGTAACGTTCTTACGTTGAAGGAATACATCGCGACATCTAAGATTCATATTAAAATACTTCGACTTCGAATCATTATTGTAGGAGCCACAGCCTATGCTTTAATAAAATATAGTCTTGTTCAGCTCTTAACATTTTCTACAAATTTGTACAGAATAACCGTAACCATAACAATTTGTACCAATAACACCGTTTTTTCGTGTATTCACACTCCCTGCTCGCCACTACCAATATGGCCGTCTTGTAGTCGAGCCAATGTAACATCCTTATTTCTTGCATCTGATTACTTTCCGATTATAAACATAACAAGTAGAATTCCTACATTTTAAACTATGACATAAATTTTTAAATAATGTGTTGGATCACAATTACAAAGTTTATAAGGTTATTTTAAATGAAGACAAAATGGTATTGATTTATAGCACAGACTAAATAACATTCAAGAATACAGAATATCAACATAGGTAAAAAACTAATATTATTATAAACAAAATGGCGGTTACTTACATTACATTGGATATTGGCAAGAACTGGTTTTGAATCCGTCAAGGTCCTTTCATCAGGTAACTTCTCTCATGAGAGTAACACCTAATACGAATAGTATAGACTAGATTGTATTGTAAATGTTCTTCACGTTTGAACGCAATTTCCGTTTGTACGACAAAGAATAGTTCGGGCTGTCGGTGCCAGGGCTTCAGTTCGATTGTAACGTGGGTACCGTCAACAGAAAAAAGTGAATAAGATACAAAACTACCTTACACTTTCATAACATAAACACTTTAAAAACCGCTGTTTTTTATACTAATAGAATAAAGATGAAAATTTTATATTTATTGAAATATCTCAAAAATTACTAGGCCTATTTTAAAAATTCTTTTACCGTTAGAAAGGTAATTTATCGAGTAACCTAGGCTGTTTTTTATTATTTTTTTTAACTTCACGCGAATGAAATGGTGAGCCACAGCTAGTAAATAATGTTTTTATCTCCTACTTTCTTTTTGACAAAAAACTAACGAGTGTACTCACCCTAAAAATAAAAAATGCTGAGGACGAATGGTAAAGTCCTAAGTTTTTACACAATATAATATTACATAACAAAATATTTAAAAACTGTCTTACCACTTTGACAGTGTTTAACTGACATTTTAGGTTAAGCAAACGTCAACTCTTTGATAGCGTGACTAGCGCCATTGCGGATTTTTGACAAAACATTGTTATTGAAGTTATCGAAGTCCACGCATTGTTATTAAAGCGTTATGCTTTGGAAGTGCAATTTTAACTAATCCTACTAATATTATAAATGCGAAAGTTTATATGGATGGATGTTTATTAAAGTTTGTAGCCTAAACTGCTGAACGGATCTTGATAAAATTTAGTATAGAAGTCGAGGGTAGTCTGGAAGATTCCACGCGGACGTAGTCGCAGGCGAAAGCTGGTAACAACTAAGTTATACTAAGAGTAGTGTGAAGATACATATTTATATTACATATAACTACGACGTCTTCAAGCAAATGTAATAAACATTATTGATCAAAGAACGTTTATAATATCAATCAGCGGCGGTCAGTATTAAAACACATATTTAACTAAGCAGTGTTTAACTATATTTATGTAGGACAAAATAATTTGAAACTTAACAGTACTGTATACTGTTGCTTACTTGAGCTAAGTAATAAGTACATAACAAGCACGCAGTGTAACAGGCTCGCAGATTTTCTTGCGAGAACTCGAGCGCTTTAATTAGCCCACTGGTTCATGTTTAACTTGATAAGCTTTACTTAGTACTCTCGTTATAATGTTGTTAAATACGACTGAGATGTTAATATTACTTTAATTTTATATATACTAGTTTTTAGTATAAAATTGAATCCTAAATATTAGTTGTACTCTTCAAAGTTTTTAACAGTAAAAGTAATATTTTATCTTTATGTAGAAACTAGCTATCGTCCGCCATTTTGTCCGCGTCAAACGGAAAAAAAACATAAAAAACCTATGTGTTCTTCTAGACTATCCACTACATCTATACCAAATTTCATCAAAATCTGTTCAGCCGTTTACGCTACACTCTGATAAACATCCATCTATCTAAACTTTCGCATTTATTATATTAGTATGATTATTTCCTTGTATGTTAATACAAAACATATATGCCTTTTTGTCTTATTCACTCTTTTAAAAACAAACAAATTCTAATCCTAAGACACAAATCTGGTTAAAAATATTACCAAGAATAAATTAGAAATAAATCTAATGCATAAACGAACATAACATTAACACTTAAACTATGTAAATTTAATTTCAAATGATTTTTCAATTCTATCATTTTACAGACAAGATTCAAAGTCGCTATCACCAAAAGTATCCAGAAAATACTTTACAAACTGGAAACAGGCGTGCGATAAGACGAAGGATAAAACGAAAGAACTATTGAAGCGATGGCGAACGTTACCCGAAGCTGAGACATCCGAGCATATGCAGGAACCGAGCAATAACGAGGAAGATAAAAACCATGGATGGAGTGTACACGTCTGGAGTGAGTATTTTAATCTATCATTACGTTACTTACTGCGTTGGCGCAGCGACCCAAAGTGGGTCTTGGTCTCCGACACGAGAGAGCGCCAGCGTCGTCTATCCTGCGTCGCCGCCTGCCAGTCGATCGACTCTTGCTCGCGCAGATCCACCTATTACGTTACTTAAGTCTTCATTTATTTTATCACTAGCTTTCACCCGCAACACCGTCCGTGTAGAATTAAAAAAACAAAAGAGAGTAGCCTATGTGTTCTTCCAGACCATCTACTGCCAAATGTTCAGCCCTTTAGGCTACAAACTTTAACAAACATCCATCGATCCATTCATCTAAATTTTCGCATTGATAATATTACTATGATTATCTTTGTAAAATAGGGATCTATTTTGTGTAAGTAAAACCACGTTTTTTATCGCAATAAAATACAAACAATTGATTGAGAATTATAAAGTCAGGTGTTTTTGTATGACGATTGCAATCTTTGCTAAATTCGTTATCGAAAATAAAAATAAACACGCCCCCAACTCACGTAATAAATTATGATAATTTTATATGATATGATAATTGTTAAGGTGATATTTTATCAGATATAACACTTTTTATATGATTTTTAATATTCATAGCAACTACTGATGGATAAAAGGTATACGCTCCTTTAATTCCTATTTAAGGTCTCGTCACATTCAGGCGTTTCGTTACATGAAAGAGATAGAACATACATTAGATGAAACAGAGCGAGACAGCTATACAGTCTATTACAAAATACGTGTAATTTGAGTATGATTGTATATTTAAAGATATTATGATATTTAAAAAACTGTTTAAGTAAATATAAGAATATATTTAAAGTCACATCACATTGTCTTCACGATCATAATCTATAATACTTTGACGTTATCAAGATGTAAAAAAAAATTACAAATATTTTAATATTTTTATATTTATCCTCACGTGTTCGAGACATGTGAATAAAACGGAGTTATAAAGTAAAGGAAAGAAAAAAGAATAAGAATAAAACCCTAATATGTTAATTAGAAACTCGACTGACTAGGACATTCAAAATAGATTATTTTGGTGTGGGTCAGTGCCAAATCTATATCTATACTATCTATACTCTATACTATTATAATAAAGCGTAAATACACACTTCTTTATTGCCTAAGATGTCAGCATATGAACATAACATTTGAACATATGGAGTAAATATTTTGTATAAAAACCCTAATGTGGGAAAGAGACCATAAGTTGCTGCCAACATCAGGGAATCAAGATTGTCATCATGTCATGTCATTATGACATTTGTAATTGATAATTTGAAAAATGTTAACAATGAAATAAAATTTTCATATTTTCATGCGGATGAAGCCGCACGGGAACTTTTAGTATTACATAAAACACATACACAAAACATTTTCCTGCTTTGACTGAGGAAAAAACTAGCATTTTCACGGATTATAATTAAAAAACTCAAACCCCTTGTTTGCTTCAAAAATAAATTAAAATTCAAAGCAAGGCTCGCATTGCATTGTTTTCTTATCTGACGTCTTTAATATATCGCAATTGTACCCGGAATTTATTTATAGTATAAACAACTCGTTTTATTATCTTAATTGAATTGCAAATTGTGAAAACTCTCGTATTTATACAAGCAGTTTGTGCATTACGTATGTTTCGTGCCGAGGCGTGGTTGTTATGATAAATATTTGGTGATATAATTTTCAAATGTACGTCATCTGTTTATGTCGCTGGATTATGTACGGATGATGTTATCGCTTATATTTTAGTATCTCGTCATTACAGTGAATTGTAACCATCATTAGTCGACGGACAGCGGTCGTGTGCGGTTGTTTCTGAGATAATTAATTACAAAATGGTATTCGGTGAGTGAAATAAAATTATTTAACAAAAATCCTCTTTCTACTCGTATTTAATATATCTGATCTGAACTACATCATCGTGTTGTGTTCGATATTCAATTCTTTCTAGAAATTATTTCATATCTTAATTTTGCTAGACCATCTGACCTTTTTTTTCCGAAGGGGAATGCTTTCTGCATACTCCGTGCCTCTGGGCAGACACGTGAGTTATGTGGGACTCTCCCCCCTAGTCGGGGGCATAAACCCCTTCGTTCCCTCCTGGCCATTGTGTGGGACGCCACGGGATCGCTTGCGTTTAGACCATCTGACCTAAAAGAAGGCTAATACAATCCTTAACAATATAAAACATCCTACATTAATATTTCAGTTAAATTTTATAATTGCTCGCGCGATCCTAATGAATTATTTACATGATTACACCTTCACTTCGTCCACATTAAAGTTAACATCTACCCTCATATAATATTCAAAGCGTCTGTCTGAACTTGTCGGGAGTGCCGACCTCATTGCTTTCATAAACCTGTCACAAAATATGAGTATAATTTTCAAGCAAGTGTCGCTAGAGTGCTTCGCGACTTAACTTCAATTCCTCTTTACATTTAACGAATTATATAGGATATATTTCATATTAAATAGCTATTAAAGTTCTATACTACATACGAAATTTGTCGCTCAAAATAAAATTTCATTTCTTCCACCAAACTATTACGTCACTCATATGTAAATAAAAGAAACAGAATTAAAAAAGGTATAAGGTTTTTAGTTATATTCTTGCGTCGATTTAAAAATAATCTGATTAACAAAATAAATAATCTATAACAGTGACTAAAAGATAATAAATATAATTAGACACATCGACTAAAATTAAAAAGAAAGCCAGTTGCATTGAAATGACGCTGTCAAATTCCGTTTTCACAAATCTCGTGGGCATTGATCATGCTTATTTTTAAATCGCCGAAGGGATTGCACTAGGCGGTTGTACAATTGAAATAATGAACAAAACAACAAAAAAGAAGAAAGAGAAAGAAATCGAAGTCATTTCTGAGGAAGATGATTCCAAAATAAATGAAGAGGTCGCGTCAACGTCTACTGACAACATCAAAAGAACAAGAAGCAGTAACGTGAAGGAGGAAGGATTTTACAATTATAAAAAAATGGTGACGCGAAATCTGAATTCCCAAGACCAGGGAGTTATGAAAGCGAAGAAACAACCCAAGAAATCGTCAAAGACTAAAAAAAGCAAACAGACCACAGTTAAGCGTCAAACGTAAAATTATTTACTATAAAACTTAGCGGTTAATAAGAAAGTGATATTTGTTGTAGAAATGATTAATTAAATATTTTTTGATATTTACATTCTTAATTTTCATTTGTCACGATACTAGAAAAGTGATTCGTTTTTTTAATATATCGTTCTTTTACAGATTTGTGACGTTTTTCCAGGAGCTAGATAATTTTTTTATCAATATTGTGCTTTTATAGAATTCAGCTAGGCAACGGGTACATGCTTTGTCACGAGATATTTAAAACAGCGTGCACAATATTGACGGGTCTGAGGTCATACGAATCTGTGGTCACACAGTCAGAGTTATTAATTTCTAAATGCAAAAGTTTAGATAGATGGATGTTAGAGTATGTAGACTAAACGGCTCAACGGATTTCGATGGAATTTGGTATAGATGTAGAGGATACTCTGGAAGAACACAAAGGCTACTCAATATTTTTTTTAATTTCATGCGGACGGAGTCGCGTGCTTAAGCTAAACTATAAAAACTCAACACAAAATACAAAAGCTTGAATTGTTATTTCGTCAATCGATCGATGAGAAAACGAAGAGTTTTTTTTTTAATATTCATTCCAATGAACGTTTTCGATAGGTTTCATTGTTCCGTTCGAAAAAAAAAGGAAACGAATAAAACATCGCTGCAATTGGCTCAGTTTCAACGGCTGCTGGTGAATTGTTTCGACTTTATTAACGCAACGATAACTATGAACCAAAAAAAAGCAAACCAGTACTTTCAAATTATAAAAAAAAATCCTTTATTTCTTTTGTTCCAATTAACTTTCTTAGTTGGACCAAAATATTCCTATGAAAGTAGTAATATTGGTCAACGTTCGTTATATTATGAAATAGATCTATAATTTTTCTAGTTATGGATTACTATAAAGAGTTACTGACCACTTCGAATAGGTTGCATTTTTATACCCTTTTACAAGAACTCTTTTTTACATAACTAACGCTTGTAAGAGGGGTGGGTAGAGATAGATCAACATTTGATCCGATCCTGACCCCTCTTTTGTTTCATCTAAATTCATACTTTATGTAATCTCATACGTAATTGGAAATGACCATTGTTGTACAAATCTAATAAGATTTTGTTTATGATAACATTGGTTTATATAAACGACAACAATCTGAATTATCAAAAAATCATCGGAACTGCTCTTCCAAAATCTGTACCACCCCTTAATTTATTGTGCTTTTATTAATTTGACGTCGTGCATTATTACTAAAATTTCATGCCACGCTATTCCCTACTTAGTGTAGTTTTACGAAGTATAATTATAAGCTTTACAATAAAGTAGCAGTTTTATATCTCACGCAATAAAACAACACGCAACCTAATGATAGAAATACTCAGTTTACCTATATTATAAAGTTTAATATTGCTTAACCCATTTTTATGATTACATAAATGTTTCTGGTGTAAAATGTTATTTATCCAAGCAATTGTAACCTTTATTCACTTTATAACATACTTCAGTAAGAACGTTCTCAATTCGACTGTATGTTTTTGTTGAGCAAAATATTGGAATTCAAAATTGTTATTCTTTACTTAAATGAAGCAGAAGAACAGAATGAGCTTGTGCTTTTTATTGATCTTTTTACCCAACTTAAAAGTAATACAAATCTTATCGGGAGTTGCGCAGTCGACCATGTTAATAATAACTCGTTATTTGTATACTCTTTACGTTCTAAAGACTAGCGAAATTGGTGCATACGTGTGGCTATATCTTGAGCTCTATAGAAAATTTATTAGCGAACACTGTTGATACCTGCATGTGTTGTTTTAACGTCTTGTACAATGTAAACGTAATGATAACAGCGACGTGGGTGAATCGATGCAGCGACAGTCTGGAGTGCTTGGAACTGGAGGATGAGCAGCCGTTGGCGCAGCTGGGAGCAGTGCAAGCGGACAAGCTGACGCTCTTCTTCACCGAACTGCTCGACCATGACCGCGATGACGTCATCTGCGATCAGGACTTTGATAGTTTCTTTGAAGTGAGTACTTGTGACATCTCGTGATTTACTCACCGGAATAAAGCGTAGATTTAAGACTTTACTAAGGGCCTGCTTAATTAACCAATATAGCTTGAATGTGGTAGTGTTGCCTTTTTAAATTTTCTAACTTAATTTCGCGAGATTTTTTTATTTTTAGTCTGTTAATTAATTCCGAAATTAACGGTTGGTTATTATTTTCATAATCTTGATAAAGGGACCACGGTAACCGATTTTACTAAAACCGTTCTAATTAATACGAAATAGTTTTAATAAAGTATTTAATTAAAGTTTCTACTAGGACCATATCTTGAACTTTTGTTAATTTTTATAAATATAACTAGGTTACAATTCTGGGAGTCTGCACCAATTAAAGTTTTAACCGCTTTATTAGGGTCGGTTCAGACAGAACGGAGCGGTAAGACAAATTATATCGCAATTAAAATGTTACTTTATTTCATTGTTACTAGGTTTAATTTTGCTTAATACGTCTTTTATTATAAATAGTAAGCGTAAAAACGTGTGAAAAGTAAATTGAACCTTGTTTCAATCGCCTAAAGATCTATATTATTGGCGATAATTATTTGTCCTCCGGCCGAGTCTGTCTGAACGTATCCTTAAACTAATTAAAAATTAGAATTGTGGTAAAGCAGACACATATTTGAACATTAAAACATCGAATTAGATTAAATAAATATTTTATATTGTACATATCGATTTAATGGAAACAACCAAATGTATTTATGTAATTTCCAGAAGCTAGCACATTTCGCTGATTGGTCAAACAACTCATCCGAATTCCACATACTGCTCGAAGTGAAGCAAGAATTTATCGAACATTTTATCAACTCTTTACCAGCCAAGTAAGTTAAGAGCGGTCGGAAACCTTTGACTAAACTATTGCACAACTATTGTGCGATTGTCGAATTCGAAGCCAATTCAACTGTCAACTAAAAATCGAGTAGTGTGCGCACCTTCATTATAACCTCATAGGAATCAAATTGACTCGAGTTGTGCGTCTGTCTGCGCCCTAAGTCTCATTTTTGGACTATAAACTGCAGAAAGAACCTTTATATAATAATTACGTTCAACACAATATAGATAAGACATTTCATCTCTTGAGATAAATTACTTAAGTTTACATAGTTCTTAAAATTATACTTGTTTGTAATTTTAATATTACATTTCCTTATTAGCATGAAGCCAAGGAAACACTGCACACAAATCCATTTTTATAATTATATACATAGCTGTTGCTCGCAATTTCGTCCGCAAGAAATTAAAAAAATAATAACAAAAACACAGTCTACATATATGTGTACTTAGACTGTGTCTTTTTTATTACTTTTTTTTTCAAAATCTCAAATGTAAGAAGAGAAACAGAGTACTGTTATTCACAGATAGCTTTTTAATGGTCAGAGAGATTTTGAAATGGGATCAGTAGTTTTTGAGTTATTTAAAAACATACAAAAATGCAAATTCCTTAAAATATTAGTATAGATAAAATCGATTATTTCCAAACATTAATGGTTAACAGCATGCAAAGATGCATTCATGATTCACGAATTGCCTTGAATATAATATTTTTATATAACAGATGGAGCGACTTACCGTACTACAAGCGAGTATGTGGTCCTGAGGCTGGGGGTTTTCCTGGCAGGACCACTCTGGAGGGATGGCTGGCGCGCTGGGCTCTATATCTCAATGACATGAAGAGGTTTACCGACCTACCACTATATTTGCAATATTTATGCAAGATTATGTTCAATGTTATTGATAGAACGGGTAAGTGAAAATTATTTGTTTCTTGTAATTTCTAACGTGGGTTTTTATATTGGTAATAAAATTAAGGCTAGAGACGTATTAGTGTGTTTTTATTTATTGTATGTACAGCTGGCAAAAGGTTAAGTTTATGACAAAATTATTCAATACTAAAAGCGATCTTAAAAGTTCTTAATTACTTATTGTAGATTACAATTACTGAATCATCACTCAGCAAGATAACGATTGTCGGCCTAATACTAAAAGGAATTTTAAGTATTTGACTTCATCAGACTTCAAAAATCTTTTCAGTATTCAGCCGTAAGTTCAGTTATAGAATAGATATCAAAATATTTATTGCATTTACGTTCTAGGTACGGGTGAAATAACAAAACAATCTCTGGCTGCTTTTTATCGCTCCGTCATCGGCTTACCGGCAACACGAGTCGATGAGATCATAGGCACTGCCTACGACCGAATGACTAGTGTGAGTTACTATATTGAATTGTAATTTTGATAAATATTCAAAGAAAAACAGGAGTTTTATAATAATTTTAATGTTAAACTAGCTGTTGCTTACGACATTGTCCGCGTGGAATTTGAAATAATACAATATGTTACTTACAGATAAATTACCTTTCTATCGGTGAAGGAATTTTTACAATCGGCTCAGTAGTTTTTGAGTCATTTCAATATTTACAAAAATACGAATATACAAATCTTTCCTCTTTATAATATTAGTATAGTATAGATAAAGATGTACGAGAAATAATCTCGATAACATTGATTTAAAAGAGCAAACAAAGTACATTTGTACAAACAGCATTTGGATTACCCCTTTATCCGCAAATGTCAAACGTTACGCCACTTGTATTCATTTTGTTTGTATACTCGGACACTTGTATATTCAGACTATTCCCGTCTCTTATTTTAGGTTATAAAAGGGATGGCAATATAAAGGTGTACCAATAATAGAAATATCTTACTAATATTATAAATGCGAATGTTTAGATGGATGTTTGTTAGAGTTTGTAGTCTAAACGGTTGAACGGATTTCGATAAAATTTGACATAGTAGAGGATAGACTGGAAGAACACATAGGCTACTCAGTTTTGTATTTTTTTTTATTCCACGTGTACGGAGTACGAAAGCTAGTAACTTTATGAAATAGACACCATAACTACGTCATTAAATCATAAAAGTTTCCATGTCCATTTAAATTAAAAATCACTCTTTCATTCCAGAACGGCTACCTGATCTTGGACTACGGTACTTTCGTCCATTGCTTCACCAACTGGCTGATGGGAAAGAACCCAAATGGCCCAGGACAATGGGTATTAGTACCACCCAAAGGACCACTACCACAGCCGCCTTTCCCCGTTGACTACAGCGCGTTGAACACAGAACCAGCCAAACTTGAACCTTACGCACCGGATAAGAAGACAAACAGACATTCCGTGATAGTATAGAAATAAATGATTATTAGTCCTTTATAACGAAACAATACAACCAGTATCCCAGAGAGGTAGATAGAGGTAATAAAAATAAAACTTGTACTCAGGATCGGGTATGAAGATATACAAATGCTTTTACATTTGTTAAGTTACAAGTGTATAAAAAATTATGTCACTAATCTAATTCCAGTACTGTTACATACATCTCAAATATGTAATGACGTAAAGAATTGATATTGTATGAAGTACGTAAGTGGTATCAGAACTTTATGATGGATGGAATGTTTCCTCATAGAGAGTATAGAATTTGTGATAGAAGAATCAATTTTAATTTAGTTAGTATTATTCATAATTTAATATGTATAAGGTAAAAAGGTGATAGATGTAGTATTCAAGTAAAAGGTAAAATTGTCACAATAAGAGCTGGCCCACGCCTTTGACTAAACTGTCGCTCAACTGTGCGATTGTCAATTGTTTCGCAGCCAAACTGTTTAGTTACATATCTAAAAAAGGAGTAGTGTTATCACTAACTACTACTGTTGACACTAAACAATTGTGCGATATTTTTCCTTACAGTTCAGAAAACTTATAGGCACTTTGTAGATCTGTGAATGTGAAAGGTTAACTATAAATAAAGATTATTTGTTATTTATTAAAAAGTAAAGCAAGGTAAGACAAACATATGTATAGGGACATCGTAATGCCCCTATACAATTCCTCGAGAAACCAAGACAATTTAAAACTCAATCTTGTTTTTCTGGACAAACATAGCATCCTAGTTACAACTTATCAAATGGCAACAATAACAATGTTTATGCAATAATGACTTTTTTTTCGAAGGGGAGTGCGTTACGCATACTCCATGCCTCTGGGCAGACACGTGAGTTATGTGGGACTCTCCCCCCATAGTGGGAGGCATACCTTACTAAACCCCTTCGTTCCCTCCTGGCCATTGTGTGGGACGCCACGGGAACTCTTGCGCTTGCCACCGCGACGCCCCACTGATGCAATAATGACTTGTACCAACCACTTGTTGTCATAGTGTTAAGTTACAATAAGGCAATCACTATGAGAGCTTATTTTATTAAAATTCAATATCAAAATCCTAAAAATTGTAATTTTTGCTTGCAATCGATAATTATACGCTTTACCTTACTATATTTCGACCAATCCTAAGATTTTAGATAACTTTTAGATATTATATAATTAAACTGTTGTACATAGTAGGTAAATAGATATGTAAAACCTTTGCACGACACGGTAAGCAAAAACTGCCTTGAAGTATGTTGTCTTCACATTTCACAAGCCTTATTTTGTACCTTAGAATAAAATTTAGTTAAATAAATTAAGTAACAATAAAACACATTAATAAACTTTTTTGATTAAATAAATTGTTTTATTAAAAAACACGTATAAACGCACTAAAAAGTATTTTTATCCAAAATATTTACCCCCTAAGTTTAATGGCGTGTAAATATATAGCCTAAAACGTGACGTAAATGTAGGGCTTTTTATTAAAAAAAGAATTATTTAAAAATATGCTGTAACTGCTGACATCTTAGGCAACAAAGAATGTGTGTTTACGGTTTATTATAATAGTATAGATAGTATACAAGTGTCCCAAAAATTTATACAAAATTAATTGCTACGTACAAGAGGACAAAACATTCTACTTGATTCGATTAATAAATGTTCGTGCTATAGTAAATTTATTCGATTCCCTCAAGATTAATCGAAAATTGACAGATAACAAATGAGTCTAATCCGCGAGTTGAAGCGAGGAATTAAGTCCATTGAAATATGACGTCAGAGTCAATTATAATAGCCCTAGAGGATTAATCTATTGTTAACTCAATTAATTTCCAATTCGTAAAGTAATTAGTTATTACACAACACAGTGGGAGAACCTGCAGTAACAATATCTACATGGATGTGGACGACTGATATACATCTGTCTGACATATGGAATTAAATCCAGTTGACACCTGTATTCTGAGACAGGGATCAAGTAGAAATAATTCTGATAAATGTGCACCTTACGCCAGATCTTACTTTGTTTTTTCCCATCCTTTTCTTTTAAGTAAAAATTGGCGAAATAATTTGCTTTTCCTCTAATTTAATAGAATCTGACTAATATTATAAATGCGAAAGTTTAGAGGATTGTTTGTTAGAGATTGCAGCATAAAGTGATGAATTGATCTCGATTAAATTTGGCATATATGTAGAGGATAGTCTGGAGGAACACATAGGCTACTTACTTTTGTTTTTTATTCATATATTAGATATGGCGCTAAATATACTAAACTGTTATAAAGAGGAAAACTTTGTATTTTTGTATATATTGAAATATATCGAAAACTGCTAGACCGATTTCAAAAATTCTTTTACCATTAAAAAGCTACATTATTATTGAGTAACATAAGATATATTGTACTATTTGTAATTCCACGTGCAAGAAGTTGCAAGCAACAGCTAGTTTTTAATATTGAGTAAACCATAACATGAATAAGAACCCTTCAACTACTCTTGATTCTAAATTAAATAAAATTAACTGTAATCCGACTTTGAAATACATTTTACATTTAGTGAATGGTATGAGATGAATGTGGAGTTCTCCGTGCGAGACTCTCTTTATTACAGATGCCGTATTTCTTTTGAGGAACGCAGCGAATAGTAAACTCGCTACGATGAAAGATTTTCTAACGAATGAAATTCCTTTGATGAAATACGGAAAACGGTGACAGGTTTTCATTTAAAGGAAATTTTTAAAGCTCTGAATCTTAGGAAATAGTAAAATCAAGAGTACAGGATGATAATATATTGAAAAATTGTACATACTATGTAGATTGTAGAATCTCCTAGAAGAAAAAGGCTGGGAGATGACGTAGATCCTGTGTCTGCACCGATAAGCTCAGACAAAGGAGGTAATGTTGAAAAAAACAATACAGTTTATACATTCCGAAGAACACAAATTAAAATATTAAAAATAAAAACTGTAAATCCCATTTCACCAAAATTAACAAGCAATTTAACTTACATTTTATTCTATAACGTAGACTTACAAAGCCACATTGCCAGATAAGTTGTTTAGATAACCAATTCCAAAGTGCATTGGAACTCTACCAAGTGGCTAAAGTATTTTGAAACAAGGAAAGAATTTAAAATATAACTTTATTTCAACATATTCAAACAAAATCACTTTACTAAAAAACTTACCTATACTAACATTATAAAGAAAAGATTTGTAATTTTGTATGAAACAATCAAACGGGACAGAATATAAAAAAAACAACACAATATCACATAGTAACATAGAGTAATTTTATTTTTAGACGTTTATTTTAATTACACACAAAGAAAAGCTAGTAAACACGTACAAGTATTATTCTATAAATAACCCGGACCTGAAACCGAAAATGACCAACTAAATAAAGTTACGTGTAGCCAATATCTTTAGATTCATCTCCAAATTATCTAATCATTAAAGACAAGTAAAATAAATATTTCAAAAGGACCAAAAAATTAAAACATAAATGACTCATAATTTCCATTTAAAAGATACCCTTAGAAGGTTCATAAAATATTTTTTAGTACATTTAATGGAGCTTCGTGTAGCGTAAAAGGGATTTTAATGACGTCATTATCGAGGTCAGAGCAACGTGAATTGATATCGCGAATCATTAAGTCGTTAGGGAAGACGTCGATATTAAGGTTACGGTTAACTCATTCATAATTTAATTTTAAAAATGCCTAATTAGCAAAATACACGAAATTTGTAATAAATATTGTACTATAAATACAAAATAAAACACACTCTTTAGTGAAAACATGCTATGATTAAGGAATCTATACTATTATAATAAAGCGTAAACACACACTTCTTTGTTGCCTAGGATGTCAGCAATTACAGCATATTTTTGAATAATTCCTTTTTTAATGAAAAGCCCCACACTTATGTCACGCTATGTATTTTCACGCCATTAAACTTAGGGTGTAAAATTTTTTTATAAAAACCCTAATGTGGGAAAGAGACCATTAGTTGCTGCCAATATCAAGGAAGCAAGGTTGTGATTATGTCATGTCATTTTGACATTTGCAATTGATAATTTGACACATGTAAACAATAAAATAAAATTTTCATAATTTAATGCGGATGAAGTCGCAGGGAACAGCTAGTATTAGATAATCCTGAACATTTGCCTTCAAAGTTTATAGTTAACATCGGCTTAGCCACTTCAGAGATCACTCTGAACTAACGCGGCTTGCGGACAGACAGACAAAAGAATTTTAAATGCGATTTTAGTTATCAGCAACGTAAATACATCATCTTCCTAAAATCTGGAATTTTTCTTTCGACATTACAAGCAGATATTCCAATTTTATTACATATATTTATATATTACGTTCAAAATAAGTACACGTATATAAAATCGAGACGTGTCAGTAGTTTTTCGTAAACTCATACTAAATTTCCTAGTTCCAACAAAACAGCTTGCAAGATAAACGTGTTCATAACAATAACTACGTGATGCAATACTCGTGATACGTGCCTCTAACAAGATGGATGGACGCGATCTCTTTAGTTGAAGAATTGATGTATTCATCTGCGAAACGGAAAATGTACTACAACACAAAATAAACATATTCTCTACTATTCTTTTTTTTGTTTATGGCTCTCCCGCAGCGTATTAGGCCAGTGTCAAGTGCTTGTGGTTTTATTCTAATTTAGGAGAAATTGGAAACAAAACTCTGCTTATGAAGATGTTCGTGGTACAAGCGGTCTAAAGATTTTAAACTCTTGAATCATATAAACCTGTTGATCTACATAAAAAGGACGGGCACAAAACATTTATATATTGTTAGTAGGTTATTGGACGTACAACTTATAAAGTACATAATAAAATTTCAACACATAACCTCAAAAACATAATTCTAAATGTTAGTATCAAATGCTCATAGAATTAAATTATTTTTAAGATAAACTAAAAATGTTTATTTTCGTCTGTTAATTGTGGTAAGATTAATAAGTATGGATATAAAAGATATTTCGTATCAAAGACATTCAAGGACATGGTTCAATAGATCCTTAAGGGTGCCATAATTGGAATGGAGTTGTATATCGGCCTGTAGCGAGGATCCCTATAGAGTATCAAGTATCAATTAAAATTGAAATAAACAAAAGCGGCAAAAAACTCTATTAAATTGAAAATGAAACTTTTATTTATTTTTCAACGACTTTAGTGTATTTACGAATTAGTAAAAAATGTAAAATAGATTGGAAAAAAAATACTATCTGAGAAATTCAAATGCAAAGAAAAAGATCAAACAAGAAATAGACGAAGGTAAGTTTTAATTTATTTTCACGGCTATAAATTCAAAGAGAGCTTCCGAAGGTAGTCCCTTTTAGACCTTTTCAGATGATCTTTATGTATACAGAAAGAGCGTATTACTTCAAGTATAATTCATAAGCACGACAAAAAAGTTGCTGAATGTTTGTTTATTTATATTATTGTATTTCGTACCTTCTTATGGGTATATCGACAGAATGAGACAATTCTTATTACAGCAGCATGCAGGTAAGATTCTCATGTTCTGAAGCAAATATACAATATGTTACTTAAATAATTCTACATTTGTATTTTTTCAAATTATCTTTGAAGAAATTTCATCAAAATCTTAGCTTTTTAGGTTAGAAAATAATTTAACCAAAAATTCTTATTTACGTAAACGCCCGGGAGATGATCAAATATTTATTATATCTAACGTGTTTGGCATTTTTTTATTGTCCGCCTCTATGTTGCGTTAATTTCAAATGAACTAATGAAATATATAAAAGTTAACCGGACATATTCAAACGTTATTTTGACGCAAACAGCTTAAACAAAAAAAAAAAACAAATTATCTGAATACAGCGGTTATAAATGAGGGCTGATTTATATTTTCTCGCATAAAATATAGCTTCATAATAAACTCTCGCTGTTTACGGCCGCCTCGAGGATAACATCCAGTCCTTTATTACAATATGATATCGAAACGGTTATTTGTAGCTCTATAACCATTAATAAACTAGAGACAGAATGTACTTTAAAATAAATGTACTCTTAACTTCTCAAATTAGTACTTGATTAAAAAATCTAACAAGCTTATTGACTTTACACTTAAAACATTGGTGAAAAAACAATTAAAATGACATCTTACACATCAAATACATATATATTCATTCATTCATTAATTCATTCATTCATTCATTCATTCATTCATTCATTCATTCATTCAATCAATCATCCATTCATTCAGTCATTCATTCATTAATTCAATGGGAGGTTTCCCAAGTCCTTAAAACCATTCGATAAT